GAGCTGTAATGCAGTCAAGACCTGCCTAGAAATGGGAGCTCTAGCGCAAGTTCTACCGGGAGACTCTAATATCACGTTATTCATTAACCACATCATTCATTAACCACGTCATTCATTAAACACAGATCTAGCCAATCACTACTCGACATGTGGAGTATTAAAGCCCGGTTAACACCCATTACTACATTCACAGAAACTGACGCCGGCGTTCACTCACCCAAGTCTCGATTGCAACCATAACGACAGCGAGTTTTGAACTCACCGACTCGACTCTGGCGGCCGTGCCGTTCTCGAGCCCCAGGCCCGAGCGAGCGAGACCCGTGTGTAGGAAGCCAGCGTGAGGCGGTTCTCCTTCCCGGGGCTTAAAACAGCAATCTGACGAGAGACGCTCTCCTCCTACTGGTGTTCGAGTTTCAAGTTTTTCAAATTGGTTTTTAAGTTTTCGGTAGGCACTTTGTTCCAGCAGCCACTGTTGACGTGTCCCCTCTACTAAGATCGAACTTCATTCAAGGTAAGGATATTAACTTGGTTACTCTGCGGCTCCCTTCACCAGCGGCAGAGCCACAAATGGTGGACTGGGGTCTAAAAACTGCTGATTCCAGACTGCAACGCAACCTCTCCTTCTCCGAATTCGTTATTGCTTACGGCATTTACAGAGACATTATTTGCCAAACATTTCCCGATCGCCGGGAAGATCTCGATTTATACCTAGTGATGATTGCAGACTTTAACCAAACATATGGGGGACATTATTTTATGAATATCACAGATCGTTCTCAGCAAATCCGGCTCTTTTATCACGCTAACTTACACTAAATTAGACCGGTTCCGTTACGGACACTGAACTGCGTTCCAGCAATTTGGCAGCCCAAAAACCCCCTCTGACTTGTGCAGTATGCAGATCTCACGGACACTCTGCATCATTCTGCTAAAGCTCTTTTCAGCAGAGCTTCGGTTGCTGTCCACGATGCTGAACCTGTAAACGCTACTTTCAATGCTAAAGGCCGTCCTATTACTGTGTTCAAATGAATTCCTCTCTGCAATAACTTCAGTGAATATGTCTGCATGTTTTCTACATTTTTCTATTATTATTATCAATAATATCATTATTATAATAATTATTTTATATGTTAAACAGACAATCAGCGACATAGGCATTCCACTTTAAAAGGAGAAAACATTAGGCCCATTAACTTCTCCAGAGCTTCTTGGCATTTCACTAGCTTCAGTCGGTTCTCGTTCGTTTAAATGATATTAAGCCTTAAAGTTCTGCTTAATTAAGGGCGTGGACACTACAGTGACCGGTAACCGCTGCTGTCACTACTAGTGTTTAGGTGTGTTCGACATCGGCTGGATGAAACCGATCGGTGAGATTTGCTTGCAGGCGGGAGGAGCTGAAAACTGAGACGCGAGTCCGACACTTTCTGCTTCCCGTAGTGAAGCTCGCGCTGTGTTTGCATACTTTATCACAGCTGAAGTGAAATAAATACAATATTTGTCAAATACACAGACTCTTCAGAGACATTTTCATTCAATACTTTATAAGTACTGCTTAATACAGCGTTTGTTTGTACATGAATAAAGTTAAAAATAAGCCTATACTATCAATGTAGTGGGGTCTACGTTTTTTATTCAGTTTTATTTTTTATAAACATGACACAATATAACATCGTGACTGCATGAAAAGAGCTTTACTGTTTTAAAACAGATTTGAGAGCATTAGTGGAACTGAACGTGTGAGAATAAACATGAAATACATGTGATGGTTGTCATGCGGTGAATCCAGCCAATGGTTAAAAAACAGCTGTCATCATCAGAGTTCTTGCAGCCGCTCTGGAGAAGCTGCGCTGGCTGAGTCCTCCGGCGGCTCTCGAATCGCTCGGTACATGCAAGTCCATGAGATTAATCAATGTAACTCCACAACAAAAATGTATCCACTAACCATTCAGAAACGTCCAGGTGCATCTAAAAGTGCAACCTCTTCCCGAGTCTCTCTGTAAGGCTGCACTCCGCTACTGGTTTTTCAGAGGTTTTGGATGAGTCAAATTATTCCTGTGTTTTGTTATTGCCGGTTTATCCGAACCTCGTGTAAAGGATTGACCCTCTTCTGAACGGAGGCGGGGAGCAGCAGCTCAATTGCATTTAAAGGGACATACACAAAAAACTGAGAGTTTTTGTCATCCGTTCTCTTGCCTCCCGAGTCTTTCTGGTAGAAATGGGAGCTCTACCGGGAACACTTTAATATCACGTCATTCATTGACCTCAGATCTAGCCAATCACCACTCGACATTTGGAGAACTTAAGCCCGGTTAACACCCATTACTGCGTTTGCAAAAACTGACACCGGCGTTCATCCCCATCCTCCCCAACACCACCAGGTCGTTCTCTTGTCTCCTGAGTCTTTCTGGTAGAACTAATTTACCTGTGCGTTTACTGAAAATAATTGCACACCTGAGAATCTTCATCAGCCAATCAGAATGAAGCATTCAACAGCCCCGTATTATAACTAGAGCTAAACCTCTGTACATTCTCAATAAGAACTTTATTAAATGTAGTCATGTAATCTATAATAAAGTGTAACTGGTTTGTAATAAGTGAATATTGTAATTGTGTTTTTGAAGTTGTTTAATCAAAGCTCTCCCTGCTCTACATACTTGAGTTTTTCCAGTCTGTAGTTTGGATCGTTGAGTTTATCAGTGAGCAGCTTGACTCCTGAATCTCCTGGGTGATTGTAGCTCAGATCCAGCTCTCTCAGGTGTGAGGGGTTTGAACTCAGAGCTGAAGACACACAACCACAGCCTTCCTCTGTCACCATACAGCCAGACAATCTACAAAGACATACAGCAACAGTCCACATGACATTAGTTTGGCAATCAAATCAGTCTTTTTCACACAATGACCTGCGTAGATTGTATTTTCAGCTGTTATTTTCTGTAGATTCTTAAAAGTAACAAAAACATTAATTAGCATAGTATTAATTATGATCGTGGCTTTTCTCAAAAAAGGAAAACTTGGTGGGGGGTTTTGCGCTCCTATTGGCGGTCGTCATAGGAGAAGTCACACTGCCAGAATTTCGTCTGAGGTATAACTTTATCACAATAGTCATTGATTGACCATTGTAATGTAAAATTACATGTGATATTAGTGATCAAATATTTCATATTTTGACCTAGGAGCAGAGGAATCTTTTCAAGGATTCACAAAATTGGTCTCTGACAGCCAAATCGTGGCCAAAATCTTACAGTGGATTTAGGCAGTTCGCTCCACCAGCAGGGAACAGTAAAGGTAAAGGGCACCCAAATAATGAGTTTAGGTATAGGGGTGAAACCCTGAGGTGACATTTTTTTATTTCTCTCACCTTAATTAAGCTAATTAAGGTGAGAGAAATAAAAAATGTCACCTCAGGGTTTCACCCCTATACCTAAACTCATTACTTGGAGATTGTGGGGGGCTGGTGACGTCATCAACAATAACTTAATGTCTAATATTTCAAAACCCGACGTAGCACAAACTAAACTTTTACCGGCACAAACCAGCACAAACGAAGCACAAACGAACGAGACTATTTGGGATGAATTTGGATCATGTGGGGGGGCTGAGTGACCTCGGAATGACCTAAAAATATTCTTTTAATATCTAAAAAACCGAAGCAGCACAAACTAAACTTTTTACAGCACAAACCAGCACAAACGGAGCACAAACGAACGAGACTATTTGGGGTGAATTTGAAGGATGTGGGGGGAATGAGTGACGTCATCGACCTAACATTCAATGATTAATATTTTAAAACACGAGGCAGCACAAAATTTACTTTTTACAGCACAAAACAGCACAAACGAAGCACAAACGATTGCGTCTATTTTGGGTTAATTTGGAGCATGTGGGGGGCTGGTGACGTGACGTCATCGTCTATAATTAAATGTCTGATATTTCAAAACCCGATGCAGCACAAACGAAAATTTTACCGGCACAAAACAGCACAAATGAAGCACAAACGAATAAGACTATTTTGGATGAATTTGGATCATGTGGGGGGGCTGAGTGACCTCAGAATGACCTAAAAATATTATTTTAATATCTATAAAACCGAAGCAGCACAAACAAAACTTTTTACAGCACAAACCAGCACAAACGATTGAGCATATTTTGACGACGTTTTGCGCTGGGTGGGGGGGCAACTTCACGCAGGTTTGTTTGGTGCATATTTTTCCATGTAGCTCTCTCAGTCTCGACCCTTCATCACTAGCAGATTGGTCTGACCCAACAAAAACCAGACGTGAAAGATAAAGTCCAGTTTGGCGCTGTTTGACAGTGTGCACGCCCTTCAGGTGTACGCTCAGAAAAACTGCATCATCTCAGAACAGAACGACAATGAAATGTTTACCCGGCAAAGCTTTAACCCTCTGGGGTCGGCAAATGCGCATAGCAGCAAAATAGACTTAAAATACGCCGTCATTTCTGGTCATACAGACTTAAGAAATATGAAAAAATAAACTGTTAAATGTCTTCTTTTTTATGTGTCCACTTACAATCGAAAAATAAAATAAAGAAAATAAACAGGGTGTGCTTTCTGGCTCTCTGTGAACTTTTTTTCTGGAGCACGTCTCTAAACTTAAACCAAACTCGGCGAATACTATTCACCCAGGAATGAGCTATATATCTTTACAATCATTTAAGTGTGTACTTTTAAATTATCTAATTCATAACAAAAACAAATATTCTCTGTTTATGTAATCTATATGAAAAGAGAGAGAGAGATGTCAATCGTTCTCATTTCAGCTCATTATAGTTTATAATCTTTTAATATGACCACGCCCACGGAGAGCACGCGCTATTCAAACGCAAATGATATGAGGCGATACATGCAAACATGTGAACGCCCCCATCAACTGGATAAAACACATCAAGTTTAATCAAATTACATCACCGTATTTTTACCGTAAATGATATGAGGCAAGCATGTGAACATGTGAACAAACATGTGAACGCCCCCATCAGCTGGATAAAACACACCAAGTTTAATCAAATTACATCACCGTATTTTTACCGTAAATGATATGAGGCAAGCATGTGAACATGTGATCAAACATGTGAACGCCCCCATCAACTGGATAAAACACACCAAGTTTAATCAGATTACAGTACTTTACGTCGTTTTGCGAGGCTGTGAGGAATAATCCTGGGAAATTTACCTCAGAAGTGCTGGTTAAAATTCATTTCGACGAGCAACGGATCCATCTGAGGATTGTGAGTACGGTAGTAAGTTTTTATTATTATTAAGCGCTTTGTTCTAATTGCGAAATGGAAAAGTGTATGTAAACCGCAAAAAAAGACTATTTAAATATGAATCGCATCTGTGTGTGAATGAATGAACAGCTTTTATCAAACTTTACTACCAATTAACATTTATATGCACTAATGTATCATAAAAACAACACAATCTCATGAAAGTGTGTATCTATAGCATAAATTTAATGCAGTGCAAATGATACGCACTGTAAACCCCTTGGGTAGGATAAGGTGTGTGGAGTGCGTGTGTTTTACACGCCATAAAGTGCGTATCATATGCACGTGTAAACTGCGTATCATATGCACGTGTAAACTATTTTTGGCCTAAATGGTTACACTATGGGTACACTTTCATGAGATCCAGCTAAAAACGATATGCCTATGTTACAGACGAAATATGAAAGACAACATTTCGTAGTTTTGGATATATTATAAAGTTTTTACTGTAAAATAGACTACTGCCACATCAAATAAGCTTTTGTTCGCCAATTTCTGCTCATATGTTTAATATAGGCCTATATTATGTTTTGTCAAAAATAAAGTCATCAACTAAGATGTTATTATAGTGTTTGTTCCAATGTAGGCTTTATTCGAACTAATGAATCCTTAACTTTAAAATACGTATGATAAAATGCATACTTTAGTTTTTACTAAGAAAGATTACACCTGAAATATTGTTACAATTTTAATTGTTGTTGTAATTGTAACCTTTTTAATAAAATAGCAAAGAATATATTTACAAGGTAGATGTAAACAAAATATTAAAAGGTCAATATAAGCCTTCTCATTAAATTATTTTATTGTGTTTTATTAGTAACAAATTTGGGGAGAGGATACATATCCAAAACTTTCTGAAAATACAGTATGAGAATTAACTACACAATTACTAGAAATGTTTACCTTGGATATTATACAATTTGCAAGCAAAAATACAAGTGTATGATATAAAAATACAATATATATATATGATTAGTTTTTGTCCTTGTATTCCTTCTTGTGGCTCAGTGACACCTGAATGAGAGGCTCATTATGCAGCTCATTATGTAGGTCATTATGCAGCTCATTATGCAGCTCATTATGTAGGTCATTGTCTTCTCAGGTGTGAATCATTCCCCCACGCATATTGACTTTCCAAACAACAAGTGTCGTTTTGAAGCAAAAACTCTAGACTACCTGATACAAGTTTCAAAAGTCTTGTGAACAAATAGTCAGTATGGATTTTATGGCATTATGTCAGTGACTAAAGCTATTTGAAAAATATATTTCCTCTACCTATTTGAAAATCAAGAAAAGGCAATTCCTGAAAAATTACACAGAGGTCTAGTTTAAAATATAATTATTTTGAAGTGATTGTGCTCTTTCTAACATTATCTAGCGCAAGTGATAAATCCCGCCTGATATTTGTGCTAGCTACTGTATACAGGCCACCATACAGACTTTATCAAAGAATATGCTGATTTTCTATCAGAGTTACGCCGGTTTCACACTGCACGCGTTCGCAGAGCGTAAGCAGCGCAGGAGCAGTGCGTACGGTGAGCGGATGCAGGACACGCGCGTTTTGCTTTCATACTGGCAGCGTTTGGCGCGGCGTGTTTACAGACAAAGTACTCTATAATGGGTAAGTTGGCATTACTTTATTTCGTTTTCAAATACATTTAAGAGAAAAGACTTGTCAAGAAGCTTATTTCATTAATTAATAGGCTATATCATATAACTTTTGGTTCATCTTTGTTTTTGTTGACTTTGTTTTCTGTTTAAATTGATTAAGGTCATTTGATTGACTGTTTAAAACACAATAGATATCATCAATGCGCTTTTGGGTCAAACTGCTGTGTATTTTGGCCATGATCAATGCATTGTCACTTTAATTCAGCGAGCGGCGCAGCAAAAATAGACAGGACGCCGAAACTATCGCGGCACTGCTGCTCCTGCTCTGCTCCTGCTACGCGCTGCCGCGCCGCCTCTGCGTGCGGTGTGAATGCTCTAATCTGTTAACATGGGCGCCGAAAAAAATACGCACTGCTTGCGCGTGCAGTGTGAAACCGGCGTTAGTACTGGTTACAGATAAAGTCCTTATTGTTGGCTATTTTAATGGTAAATGGTAAATGGACTGCATTTATATAGGGCTTTCACAGACCCAATGGCCATCATGTACTTTACATATGCGCACCCAAGCGCTTTATATATTGCCTCATTCACTCATTCATATACCGACGGCGGTGTCAGCCATGCAAGGCGCCATCCAGCTCGTCGGGAGCAGCTGGGGTTAGGTGTCTTGCTCATGGACACCTCGACACTTGGTCAGGTGGAACCGGGGATTGAACCACCAACCTTTTGGTTTGTAGACAACCTATATGAACCACTGAGCCACTGCCGCCCCTAATATCCATGTAGATAATGAAAAAGACGCATTGGGATTGCCATTTAGAGACAATCTGAACTCTGTTGGAGTTACACAACATGTGTCAGGACCCAGTCATTATCGTAATCATACATTAGATCTATTTCTGTCAGGACCACTATCGTCAAATACGATTGACAATTATCATACAATTTGGATTAGCGGTATGGTTCAGTTCTGGGCGAGAACTCCCTGCGCATCCATGCAGCCTAGCATGGATAAGAGCAGGGAGAGCAGCAATAACCCCCCAAAACAAAACCATATGCCAATATCCCCCAAACCCAACTGACAGCGCAATTCTGGATTTTTTTTTTTTTTTGCAGTTACCTGAGTGAGCCAAGGCAACAAGCATGTTGCCAATACTTGAAAAGCTTGAGCAACAGCATGTCACCAACCATACCGGAAAGCCTTGAGCAACAATTATCTTGCCCTTACCTGGATAACCTAAACAAGTATGTTGCCAATACCCTCATGAGCCATAGCAACAAGCATGTTGTCAATACCCGAAATGCTTTAGCAGTAAACATGCATATTGCCATAAATGAGATGAGACTCTTCGATTATCGAGTATTTTTGGGGAAATTTTTTACTTTTAAGAGTAGATTTAATTGTGGGTACTTTTACTTTAACTCGAGTAAATTTCTAATGAAAAAACTGTATTTTTACTTACGTTGGGCGACGTTCCTCTCGTTACTTCATTTTAATGCAATATGTTGTTAAAAGCGTAGTTTATTCTAAGCGCGCGCTCTCTCTTTTTTCTGGGCATGAGCGATGCTCAATTCACAAATGAATCACTCTTTTGAGTCGATTCTGTTCAAAGACTTCATCAAACAAGTTGGGCAGATCTGTCTAAATCGGTTCGCGAATCAGTTTGAATGATCTGTTCAGTTTCCTCACGCACTGAATCGTCTCGGAGTCGTAACAGGAAGATTTAAGAACATCAAGAGCGTTGTATGAAGTGGCGGTCTACAGTCTACAGTACAGTCTAGAAAGTAAATCTGCAAATGCATCATATTTTTTGCCAGCGATGAAGATCTTTATTAGTTGAACATCTTCGTATGTTACTTCGTAAGCTGTCTGTGAATGAATTATTCCACACGACGATACATTCGATTTCATTCAGGTAATTCATTTTACAACCAAACAGATTATTACGCCATATAGCACTACTACAAAGTATGACATTGCCCTTTTTTTTGGACATATACATTACTTTATAGTTATACATTAAATAAATAAGCTATCATCGTCCAGTTTATGAATGTGTGTACACACACAATGTGTGTTTATTGCGCAGTGGCGTGCGAACTCGACTTGAAAACGAATGCCTTTGCCTGCCTTATTAGACTCAGTTAACCAGTTTAAAGATGCTTTCATAAATATAGCCTACATTTAAATACATTTTGGAGAACAGAAGAAGATCCGTGCATTTGATCGTTGTTTGTGTTGTGTCAATGGTTCCCATCCCTTTACATATGAATGCAAAACTCCATAGAGTCACTTTATTCCGACATTGTCTAATAATCCAAATGTAGTTGTATAAGTTAATATACTATTATACAAACCAAAGGACAGGCAATGGTTTTCAGGCTACAGATATAATATACAGATATACAGAAATAATGTTTGTCTCTTCTGTTTTTGTTGCAAAGATGGCTTCTCTAATTATGATGATAATAGTCATTTAAATGAAACAAATATCTAAATAATATCATGTTATATATATATATATAGGCCTATGTGATCCAAAGTAACTAGTAACTAACTACTTGAGTAGTTTTTTCATTGGATACTTTTTTACTCTTACTCAAGTAACCTTTAAGATTATTACTTTTACTTTTACTTTGAGTAAATATTTGTACTTGTACTTTTACTTGAGTACAGTTTTTGGATACTCTACCCACCTCTGCCCACGATAGTCGAAAAAGTCGACGTCGAGGGCACAAAGACACTGGAAGTATATGGTTTACTCCATGGCTCGTCATGGAGGTCTTTGAAGAAGGGGAGAGACTGATGTTTTGGTCCCTCCCCCCTTTTTGAATGAGCTCGCGAGTTCCCGTTTCCTCGTATGTAGATCTGTTATCCTCTCACGGAAGTCATTTACCGCGCGCGCCAGCATCAGTTGTGCGCTCGGTTATTATTGCCATTGATTTGTCGCCATAACTAACTCCTAACAAAGATCTGTAGTCAGATATAGAGTGAGAGAGAGAGTTTTTGACGCACACATGCACAGAGTGATCTGAAGAAAAAAGATCTTGACGATGCACCTGTGGCTCATCTATTTATAACCTCGCGTAGCGGGTGCACGCCGATGACGTAAACGCCCGAGGCTATATTACCTCCGGGTCAATTCTATTGACGTGTTTTCACACAATATTCACAGCTGGTCACGATTAAAGACGTTCCCAATGTGCTCCATTGTAGCTTTTGAAAGGGAACAGCACAGCACAAACACAGGCCACATTTACACATAGCCGGGTATTTAGAGAAATTAATATCAACATGGAGATAATGTTTTTCTAAAAAATTATAAACTTGCACCTTGGAACCTATTTCAAAGTTTGCGTTCTCAAGCCACCAAACACTGTTGTATTGCAAATGAAAGGACAGAACGCATTAAAAGTTTTGTGTTTTCAGTAAAACGGTGTTGTGTAAGCGACCCCTAAGTTAATAAAAAATCTCTTGTTCTGGCATTCCATGAGAGCAGATGCCACATTCTGTGACTAAATCATTTATTGTGATAGTATTTCATTAATTATTTTGCAAACATTTACCGCAGTATCTCCAGCTGACAGTTTGGACTCTTCAGTCCATCAGAAAGCATCTTCACTCCAGAATCCTGCAGGTCATTGTTAGTCAGGTCCAGCTCTCTTAGAAAGGAGTTTGAGGATTGTAGAGCAGAAGACAAACTCTCACAACACTGAGCAGTGAGATTGCAGCTATGTAGCCTGTGAAGAGAAGAAAACAGCAGTAATGCAATAGTAATGTTTATTAGGTAGGGTTTATAATAATTTGGAAAAACATTTGACTGAAGGGATGTAAGCAAAAGGGATGCACCGATACCGATATCACCGGTGCCGGGCCCGATACTCGTACTCGTGTACTCATACTCAAAAAAATGCTCCGATACCAAAAACCAATACCAGGAAGCATGTAACACTGCAGAATAACACTGACAACAGAGAGTAGAATGGGAATAGAAAAGAAGGCAGTCTATTAAGTAAATATATCTCATTTGTGGAGTATTAAACAGAATATAGAAACGCCTATATAGCTGTGGTGCGCAAGCTAATAAGAGAAAAACCCACAGTGGCACAGACCCCGCGAGCTTGATGAGCGCATCCCCTTTTCACTGACGTCAGCGGAAAGTTTGTAGTTCAGTTAGATGTCAATGGCAAAGAAAGTAAAACGAGACATGTAGCTTATTATTAACATTAACTGGCGAGAGAGAGAGAGAGAGCACTTCTGTTGCACGCTATTAATCGTTCACTCAGCACACGTGTCATTTGGATGCAAGTAAAACATCAACTGTGGTTCCCTACATTATTACAGGATGTTTTCAAGTCAAGAAGTTTCATGAACCCAAACATCTAAAGCGTGTGTCCCAAACACTGCGTCTCAGTGTTTGCTGCTGTCTCAGTTTGCGAATATTTCATTGAATTCTCTTTCACGTCTTGCGCTAGTACGGACAAATTCATACAACATTATGTAAAAACGCTTGTCTAGTGAGTATCCTAGTAAACTTAGATAGTTATATCTCAAGTGCACGTAGACAGTATATTCAGATGGGATCCGTGCACTCGGTCATAAAGAGGCAGCAGTCTAATAAACCTGCTGCTGTGTTTTAATGTTATTCAAACAATAAAGGACAAATAAATCACTCACTGCTCTAGACTGAAACCCTTTTTAACTTTGTAAAGATCATTCTATATTCAATTTATACAGTGATGAATATTCAGTGTTATTTCACATTTGATTACTTTATTCAAAAGTCTGTACCTGAAAACTACTGACCTACCTGAAAAAAAAAACTATTTCATTTGTAGCCTTTCTTTGTTCTATTTATGCTATTTTTAATTTAATTGAATTTTTCTCATTTTATTATTGACTGCTTGTCTTTAATAATGTTTTACATTTACATTAATTTGGCTAGTAGTTTTTGCTGTAGTATCAAAATTGTAACAGAGAATTGTTAGTCACTGATTAGTTAACCTTCATCCACGGTGTCTGGTGAGTTCCCTCATTTACCCAGTGTATATTATTCTCCCCGTTCAGTTCAGTCCTAAGTCAGTTATTGTTTGTGTCTATGTTAACACGCTGTTGCGTCCTGTTCCCCTGCTTGTGAACATTAAAGCTTTGTTTTCGTTTGGAATCAAGCTTTGTCTGTCTGCTTCATCAACCAGCGTGACAGTATCTAGTGGTGGACAGATCAAGGCTTTGTGAAACACTGAAACAGTTGAAGCAAATGTACCATATTGTGTCGAGGCTTCGAAACAATCCGACACCTGTCTCCACGGGGACCCCTAGTGGTCAAAACAGTGTAAATGCAACAAAAACCCGGTCCAAACATGGATAAAAAACGTCTCGGTTACGTATGTAACCCTAGTTCCCTGATAGGGAACGAGACGCTGCGTCAAACGCTGTCGGAACGCCCCTGCGTTGTGCGTCATGAAGCACGTATGGAATCAGCCCAATGGAGAGACGGAACGTCATAGGCGGGTGACGTCACCGACCAGGAAACTATAAAGCACCCCAAAAACACAAGCGCATCAGCTTCTGATAGGCCTGAAGGAGCGCTTAACGGGAATGCCGGGAGTATGGCAGAACGATGCAGCGTCTCGTTCCCTATCAGGGAACTAGGGTTACATACGTAACCGAGACGTTCCCTTTCAAGGGAACTTCGAGCTGCGTCAAACGCTGTGGGAACGCGAATACCCACGTCGCCATAGGACCAAGTGACCGTCATGTGAGATCTAGCGCACAGCGGACGAGAGCACCTGCACGGTGAAGACCATCCAGTCGCATCACAAACCTCACTCAGGGACACTCCTGACAATAAAGCTTTGGATGCAGCCATACTCCTAGTAGAGCGGGCTCGTACAGCCAAAGGTGAAGGCTGACCAGCCGACTCATAAGCACGTGAGATAGCCTCGACCACCCACTTGCTCATTCTCTATTTAGACGCAGGACACCCTTTCCTGGGTGGGCCGAAACATACAAATAAATGTTCTGATTTCCTCCACAGGGCAGCTCTGTGGACATAAGCGTCTAACGCCCTCACTGGGCAGAGCAAATGAAGTTTCTCCTGGTCTGACGACAGAAATGGAGGAGGACAGAAAGCCTGCAGAACTGTAGGTCTAACAACATTAGTAGGGACCTTAGGAACATAACCTGGCCTAGGGTATAGAAAAGCCTTAACCATACCAGGCGAAAATTCCAGGCACGAACTGCTGGCCTCAGCCTTAAAGTGCCACGAAGGAAACGAGTTATAAGCGGGTGTCTCCCAAGAAAAACTCCACTGAAAGGGACGTGGTAAGCAACCAGTGCCGCCACATACACCTTTAGTGTGGAGGGGGATAACCCTGTGGAGAAACGCTCCTGCAGGAATTCCAGCACTGCACCCACTGGGCAGTTAACTGGGTCCTACAGGTGTTCTCCACACCAAGAAGTGAAAAGTTTTCACTTCAAAGGCATATAGCTTCCTCGTGGATGGAGCTCTGGAGTGAAGGATGGTCTCAACAACCTCGGTTGAGAGACCGGAATCTATGAGCTGGGCCCCCTCAGAGGCCAAGCCCACAGCTTCCACAACTCTGGGCGGGGGTGAAATATCATGCCGCCCGCCTGAGAGAGTAGATCCCTCCTGACCGGAAGCTCCAAAGGAGAGCCGTCCAGGAGAGAAACCAGGTCCGCAAACCATACTCGGGCCGGCCAGAACGGGGCTACTAATAGTAGGCTGACCCCGTCCCGGCGAACCCTCTCCAGAACTCCTGGTAGCAGAGCAATCGGGGGGAAAGCGTACAGACGTGACCTCGGCCACGGCTGCACCATAGCGTCCAACCCCAGAGGGGCTGGATGACTGATGGAGAACCATAGACGACAGTGCGATATCTCCTTGGAAGCGAATAGGTCCGCCTCGGCGCGACCGAAACTCAACCAAAAGAGCTCCACCACCTCGGGGGTGGAGTCTCCATTCCCCCGGCCTCGGCCCCTGCCTCGACAGAGAGTCCGCTACCACATTCAAATACCCAGGAAGATACATTGCTCTCAGTGATAGTAACTTCCCTAGGGACCACAGGAGGACCTGACGGGCCAACTTGTAAAGCCGGCGAGACCGCAGGCCCCCCTGACGATTTATATAAGAGACCACCGACGTGTTGTCTGACTGAACTAGCACATGATGACCTCTCAGGTCTGCTAGGAAGTGTTTCAGAGCCTGAAACACCGCCAACATCTCTAGACAATTTATATGCCATGATAGATGATGGTCCTGCCACAGACCTTGGGCTGGACGACCACTCATGACCGCCCCCCACCCTGTGAGGGAAGCATCCGCCGTTAGCTTTACGCGACGACAAAGAGCCCCCAGCACAGGATCTTTGGATAGGAACCAAGTTTCTTTCCACAAGACCAGAGCACGAAGGCAGCGCTGCGTGACTTTGATCGTGCGGAGTGGATTTCCCCTCGGGGAGAATCCCTTGGTCCTGAGCCACCACCGCAGCGGTCTCATGTACAACAGGCCAAGGTATAACGTTGGACACTGCTGCCATCAAACCCAACAGTTTCTGAAACTGCTTTACAGTGAGTAGCTGGCCTAGCTTTACTGTTTCAAGGCTGAAGAATCGAAGCGATGCGGGTGAACTAATCCCAAACAACGCCCAGAAAAGTGGTCTCCAGGGAAGGAGATAAACACTTTTCTTCGCATTCAGCCTCAACCCCAACTTCCTGATATGCGCGAGGACGACATCTCGATGTCGAACCGCCATCTGCTCCGTAAAGTACGGGGAGATAGCTAGACCGAACGGAAGAACCCTATACTGGAATGCCTTGCCCCCGAAGGCAAACCTCAGGAACTTCCTGTGTTGTGGAAGTATGGAAATGTGGAAGTAAGCGTCCTTTAGATCTATCGTGACAAACCAGCCCTCGGACCTGATTTGTGACACGACCTGCTTGATAGTGAGCATCTTGAATTGAGCTTCCCTAACGAGCGATTTTATAGGCGCAAATCTAAAATTGGACGCAACCCCCCATCCTACTTTGGAACGATGAAATATCGGCTGTAATAACCTAGCTCCAAACTGGGAGGAGGAACCCGTTCTATAGCCCCCTTTTGAAGGAGCGTTTTCACCTCTTGTTCCATTACCAGAGCCTGCTCGGGGCCCACACTATGGGCAGAACCCCTCTGAGTTTCGGTGGACAACACCTAAATTGGATCGCATAACCTCTTACTACTGTCTGCAGGACCCACTGAGATATTCTTGGAAGGCTTTTCCACTCTGCCAAACAAATTCTACTAAGGGTACCAGTCTCTCGAGACTGGTCTCTGGTGTAATTTGAGCAGCAAACACAGCGCCCAGTAACGACGCACCGGCAGGGAACAACTGGTTTGACCGCTCTGAGACCCTCCTCAGAGGGAGCGAGCGTCCCTCGGGAAAGCACTCGCTGGGACCGTCTACGCCCCGGCATGAAGGCGGGGTTGGCAGAACGGGCCCCTGAGGGCACCGAGGAAGAATGGGCACCGTAAAAAGAGGTGAACACCTTTCTCCCTCGATGGGGACCACCCTCAGTGTCAGAGGCGGCGAGCGTCCCTCGGGAAAGCACTCGCCGGGACCGTCTGCGCCCCGGCATGAAGGCGGGGTTGGCAGAACGGGCCCCTGAGGGCACCGAGGAAGAATGGGCACCGTAAAAAGAGGTGAACACCTTTCTCCCTCGATGGGGACCACCCTCACTT